TGGTATTACCAGCGGGGAGGCAGAAAAAATAGAGGCAGTGGCCGAGGAAGGGGCGGCCCTGGCGGCCGGGGAAGAGGCGTCCCTGGCGGCCGAGGAAGAGGCGTCCCTGGCGGCCGAGGAAGAAATACGTGGGGCCGTAGTGGTCCCACAGTAATCAAAAATTATATTTTTAATTAAAAATAAAACAAAATAAAAATTAATAAAAAATAATATATAATTGGGGAATAATTATTTAAAAAATTTTATCCTTTATCCTTTTTTCCTTAATATAAAATAGAACATATTATATAATCTAATGTGGTATGATATGGCTACAGGCGAAGATCCACGTTAAAAAAATCTTACGCGCCATTGGTGGTACCTCTTCTTCTCACCATTCACTCATTCGAATAGTGTCTAAAATTTTTAATCATATTAATATCTAAAAGTCGAAAGATTTTCGACATTTTATGAACAGTGAAGAGTCAGTTTTTGAAAATTTTTTGGGACCTAGTCGGAAATCTATACATACCACAATTAAAGAAATCGTTATTGTTTGTTTCGTTAGTAACGGTAAATCAATTATTCATAAAAAACTTGAGTTTGTAATTGAAATCATAAATAGTTTTATAAAAGAAGCTTGAAAATCCAAAATATTTCTACATTCCTCATCTAGTGATTCTCTTGATATTTATTATGTTGCATTTATCTAAACAAAATATTATACACAGATTTATATCAATATATATTTTTGTTAAATATAAAAATTATTTCAAGCGCTTTTTGATGTTTTATAAATCCTGTTATATACATAACAGGATTTATATTATCATTTACCATTTTATTACACTTTATTGAAAATCTATATTCCGTTGAGTTTATAAAATGATAAAGAATTTATCGCCATGCAGAGAATCAGGGCAGGCTAAGGCTGTAACCTTAAAATATTCTTTATTTGATGTTATTGGACATCTTTATCATAACTTTAGATGTTCTCAACTCTGTAGCGTTATTTACACACGACGCACAGATTTGTAATATTTACCATATGGATGTTAGATGCTGTAGTATTAACATTATGGATTCATTTTGTAAATGCGCACAATATTTATTAATTATAAGTGGGGTATGTGTAGAATCAAACGTTTTCCCGTAATCATGCTACATATATGCAGCATGAACTACATCCCGTAGTTCATGCTGCATATATAAGATAAGCCAATCAAAAGTTTCCACTCCGTTTATTTCGTAACCAACTGATTTGTATGAAAAAAGCCAAAAAATATTAATTTATTTTTAGAGAAATATGTAACTATGGTAAATTTTATTAGAAAGTTCGATTTTTCTTACTAAATCTGTGCCATACAAAATATATCGTGTAATAACGAGTGCCGTATAATAGCATCTAAAATGTTACCAAATTTTTGCAACAACTGTATAAGCATAGTTTTATTACTACATGAAAATTGGTGAAGAGCATTTCGAATATAAAGTAATTCATTCTTTAAATTATAAATTTTTAATTTTTAAGATTTAAAACCTTCAAATGTGTGCAATTCTTTGAAAATTCGTCAAATAAACACAGTTGTAACATAATCAAAACATTTTTAAAACGATGTGTCTCCCCCCCCCCCTCCCTCTATTGATCCTTATTGTTATTTAAATTTTTTGTAATGTATAGTTGCTCCAATGAAGTAATAAGTCCAAGAAATAAAATATTGAATTTGTCATAGCTATATGTTCTCTTAAAAACAAAGTTGATGTGTTTCGGCTTTTTTGTACAATTCATTCGACTACAAAATAAATAAAATAAAAATTGTTTAGTTGATTCATTTTATATATATTGCATATTTTATCAGCAGTTTTTTTGTTATTATAATGTAATTGTGTTTATGACAAATTATTTTTTATATTTTACTATTTTATGCATTTTTACAATGGCCAATATATTATTTATAAGTTATGTAAAATAAACAAAAAACGGGCGTATGGAGCAATTAACAATTTGTGTGATAATACCTCGGGACTAATCAATTAGTAAAAAAAAAATAATTGTTTTTAAGAAAAAGTATGTAAATATTTATAATGTGTTTATAATGTATTTTTTTAAACAATTATTTGTTTTTTTCTTTACACTAATTGATTTGTCTCATTATTCTGTACATAAAAGTATTACGGTAAGATTATCAAAAACTAAATATTTTACGACAAAACATTATAATAAAGTATTTTTTCATTAAGTACCTTTTGAGTTATTTTATATCTTAATCTGACATATTTTGATATAAAAAATAAAATATCTCGTAAAATATTTAGTTTTCGATAATCTTACTGTAATACTTTTATGTACAGAACAATGAGACAAATTAATTAATGTAAAAAGAACAAATAATTGTTTAAAAAAATACATTGTAAATAATTACATACTTTTTCTTAAAAACAATTTTTTTATATGTATAACTAGCATATAATATAACAATGTAATATATAAAGTATCATGATAGACGGACAAAAATTAATTTATTACCGTATTTCTCGTAAAAAAATAAGCATATTTTGTTTGCAAAATTTTCGAAAATGCACTATTTCCAAAATGATTTTTAATAAAATTATAGAACATATAATTTTTTTTCCAGGACACACCCTACATAATCATATAATTAAAT